CCCCAAAACCCCAAAACCCCAAAACCCCAAAACCCCTCATGTAAGAGGACTTATTGAAACAACCAAACTTAAATTATATTTTAAAAATAATTTTATCATGAATAGGTCATTAGAAGGTGTCATTTTGAAGAAAGGTATGAAATTTTAGCACTCCATGAGATTTCTAAGTCAAAAAACGCTGATATTAACATTTTACAGTAGATTTTAACTCTGAATTTAGATAAAAAGAAAGGAGTCTTATCAAGAAGAAACTTGAGAAGGTATAAGAAAAGTAAATTCTCAAGCTTCTCGATTACAAATGATCGAAACTCATCGAAAAAGAAGGTTGGCAGCATAAATAGTTTGCCATCTCCAAGCAGGACAAGAAAATTACACCCTAATTTAGAGATAAAGAGTTTGGCAAAGCTAGAAGCTTTCAAGAAGGAGACTAGCCTTCTCAGACAGTCTATGACTTATGATAATCGCATGAATTCTCAAAGAAGCGATTATATTGATTTGAATAAACTATATGCAAGGAAACTACAGAAGACTAAAAACCAGAGACGTCATCATATTTCTATTAATGTTGAGAGTAAGAAATCATGGAAAAACCTATCCAAGTCACGGGAGTCCCTCAGAGCAATGAATCCCTACGAAGATGTGGTTTCTTTCTCAGATTTCATGAGGAACAAGTCTCTTGATAAATCTTCGAATGTTTCTTCATCTTCATTGTCTTCATTTACTGATAAATATAATTTCTCAGTATCGAATCAGCTGAAGAAATGGTCTGATAAGAGAGGAAAAGCAAGGAAGTACACAGATGTGAATGCTGAGGTGATATTTAACAAAGTCAAGCACCAGATCGCCATCGCCCAGAGCTACTCTAAAAATAAAGAGCATATAAAAATTGATAGTATGGTGAAGAAACATGTTGACTTGGTGCCTGAAATTCCCGTATATTGCAAGATACCTTGCAAAGATGAGTATTCTCCATGAAAGATCACCTTAGTGATGGATTCAGAGAGGGGACCTGATATTTATGCATATTCCTCTCTCAGATTTCCAATGCCATCAGCTTCGAAGTGTTCAAGATCATGGAAGAATAGCAAAGGTATCCCCACAGATAAAATTGTATAGTCCTAAAAGTGAGTTATAATTACGAGGAGCTTCATCCTCATGAAGAAGGAATTCTAAATAGATCCTATAAGTCAACCACGAGTCTTGCCAATCAATTTTCCAACCACTTTGTGTACCTGACGCTTCTATCCTATACAGGAGCTAGCATGATCGCTGACGTCAAATTTGCTAATGAGTTAGGCACTTTTGGAAACAAATAAATTGTTTGCTTCTTCCTAACATTTAGCGCAGTTACTAAAGAATCTGAGGATAAATAAGGCTCTTGAAGCCCTTCGGCAGTTGAAGCAAGAACGAGAAGGTAACCTTCTGGTAATCCTTGTAGAGGAGGAACTCCGATGTCACGAGTCAGATTTCAAAGTTCCACATGCTATTCAATATCTCAACATGGTATCCTGGATTCTTACCTTTAGCCTTATGAAGTGAGGAAGAGTTACGCAAATGAGAAGAAGCATAAGCTGTTTATCCAGAAAATCACAAAAATTGAGGTTAATAATGCTACTAAGAAACTCCATCAGAGACTCCAAAGATTGGCCAAAATCAAGAAGGTCTGTGCTAATGTGATTGTCAGGCAGCTTTATTTGCAGAAATACATCCTGTACTTTGCTCGTAGGTACAAGGAAAGTCTGCCGAATAATATCAATTCAATATATTTCAAGAGCTAGGGGTTTTGGGGTTTTGGGGTTTTGGGGTTTTGGGGTTTTGGGG